CGCGTATACCTGGAAGTGTTTTAGAGGATTATGATAAAGTCAGCTTTGGATGGAGGGAGGAAACGCCCTTCCACTTCACTTCCATCTCCTGAACGTTGCTTTCCACCTTTCATCTAGTCTCTTCTTCTCCCTCCTCCTCCTCCACTTATTCCTTCCACTTTTTATTCTCTTTTCCTTCAGTTCCCTTCCTCTTCTATCTTATTTCCTGTTTTCCCTTCCATCCCTCTCTGCATGGTTTCTCCCCTCCCCACTCTCATCTCCTCTTACTTTTCCTTCCCTTCATCTAATCTTACCTTCCCTTCTTTCCCCCCTCCTCCACTCCTCCCCCTTTCCCTTCTTTCTTTTCTCCTCTCTTCTTCTCTTCCCTTCATCTCATCATTTCTTTCTCTTCTCCTTTTGCCTTCATCGCCTCTTCCCTTCTTTCTTCTCTGCTTTCCTCTTCTCTTCATCTCCTCTTCCTTTTCCTTTATTTCCTCTTCCGTCTTTCTCTGCTCTTCTACTCTTATCTGCACCTTCTCTTCCCTTCCCTTTATCTTATCTTTCATTCCCTTTATCTCGTCTTCCCTTCTCCTCTCATTTTCTCTCCCCCTAATCTCCTCCTCCCTTCTCTTCCTCTCATCTTCTCTTCCCTTCAGTCTCTGCTTCCTTCCCTTCTTTCTCCTCTCCAATTTCCTTCATCTCCTCTTCCCTTCTCTTCATCTCCTCTTTCCTTCTCTTCATCTCCTCTTCCCTTCTCTTCATCTCCTCTTCCCTTCTCTTCATCTCCTCTTCCCTTCTCTTCATCTCCTCTTGCCTCCTCCCTTCATCAAAAATGTACTTCTTTATTCCCTTTATCTCCTTTTCCCCTTTACTTCATTTTATCTTTCCTTTCCTTCTTTCTGTTCTCATCTTGCCTTCCTTTCATTTCCTCTTCCCTTCTTTCTCCTCTTCCCTTGATCTTCTTTTCCCTCCATTCATCTCCTGTTCCCTTAATTTCTTATGACTCTTTTCTTGTCGCTTCCCTTCTCCTCCCTCTCCTCTCCCCTTTCTGTCATCTCATCTTCCCTTCTCCTCCCTCTCCTCTTCCCGTCATCTCATCTTCCCTTCTTTATCCTTTCCTCTTCTCTTCATCTCCTCTTCCCTTCCCTTTATCTATGCCTACCTTCCATTCACCCCCCTTCTATTCACCTCTCTTCCCTTCATCTCTTTTCCCCTTCCTTTCATTTCCTCTTTGCTTTTACTC